CTGGCGGCCCGTCGGCCTTTTCTAGCCTTTTTAGTTAGCGCGGCCAATCAGATTGACGAAAATAGTTAGCGCTGCCAATCAGCATATGATTTGCATCTCATTGGTCAGCATACCGCAGTATTTTTGCCAATCAGCAAAAGGAATGAATTTTATTGATCAAAATTCTGGGGCTGTGGACCATAAACGTCCAAGAGTACAAACACGAATACAAATTTCAAGTCTATTCGTCCAAGAAGCACTTCCTCGTAGCCCAGACTGAAGCACGGACCTCTATAGTCTTAACGTGAACACCATATACATGTGCGCTGTTTTTCCAGTGTTCTCGCTGTTTCCTTCCCTCTTTTTTCTCTTTCTTCCCTTCTTCTGTGTGCCAAACATTTTTACAATGGTTCTTAAGCCCTCAACAGTACTAGTTTCGCGTAAAATACAATAGCACGATAATATCTTTGGCCGCAGCCTTGGCCATGGCTGCGTTGATGACGCTGCGATCCGTGTTGCTTGTTCTGAGGACAACCGAGCTGGTCGTCCACGCCGGATCCTGAGCCGCATCACCGGGTGTCAGCTCGTGGTAAGCGCCTTCACGAGCCAATCCGTGATGGCTTGTATACCGCTCGAAGAGCTCTTGCAAGACTTTCGGCAACTTCCCGATTGCTATCCCAAAGGGTCACGATTCGTATCACGTACTAGGTTGCTTCTCTTCGTAATCCGCACGTCACGACCGTCATCGTGTCGACGCTGCAGACCGTTCTTCTAGTTGCTTGAGCTCTTCGAATCGTGACCCAAAGGGTCACGATTCGTTACCCTTTGGGATAGCAATCGGGAAGTTGCCGAAAGTCTTGCAAGAGCTCTTCGAGGGCTGCAAGCTTTTTTTTGCGTCATGATCCTTTATATGTATATAGTGCCTCGATTATTCTGGTTTTACGAAATTTGAGCGAAATCAGGCCATTAACGAGTTGTCGCTTCTTGATCCACTTTCGAAAAGCCAAGGCGAAGCCGCTCCTCCCACTGCAGCAACGCCTCACCTCCCGTCTCAGTCGTACCCTGCCGGCCGACAGATGCCGCGGTCATCTATCGCTGCGTGGCCGGGCATCGAACAATGCGTTCGCCCGGTGGCTCGACGTGAACTTACCTGTGTCCTCGTGCACACAATTGGGGGAGTGCGATAATTACCAAGATCGTGTCAAGCTACCGCTGCCAGTCGAAGTCGTGCAGCGCCACTTTGACCACCTCACGCACAAAGTCGACCTCAGCAGCCAACCGTTCAACCCTCCGCAAAACAACTCGCACAGCCACGTCAACGACGCCAAGAGCGCGCGCGTCTTCTTCGTTCACATGGATGTCTGCACTATCTCGCCAGAACTTAACGCAATGATGACGAGTATGCCTCCCGACAACCATGGTCTCTTCTACTCCAACGAGGAAATTTCCCGACCAGCCTCTTAGGTATAGTATGCGGGACGTTGCGACGTACAAGCAAAATGGCTAGATGAAGATGACCGAATGCAAGGAACCGCTCTCTATGGCTTACCGAATGGCCGTTGTTGGTAGGCACCGGAATAGCGGGGCTGATTCAGGGCTGCAGCCGACGGCACCTCATGAGTTTGTGAGGCACCATGATGACTTTGAACTTCGGCGCATCAAGGACATGAGCTGCGTCACATTGTACGACACTATTGTGGCGTCTTCTTTAGCAATACTACACGTTGGATGCTTCCCGCTCATCGCACCTGTCGCACCTGCCGCGCGTCCAGATCCTGCCCCGACCTGGCTCGACAAGCTCGGCCCTCACGTAGACTCAGCGGCGCTCATAGAGATTCGCCTTGCTGGCTACAGACGTCGTCCAAACTTCGACTGGCGTGTGTTGCCGGCGCACCACCTTGGCGTCTCCGCGACCTAACATCAGCAACCAAGCCGAGCTGCTGCGCTTGTCCCACTACG